CTCAAATTATTTTCATAATAGATAGATAGATATAAGATAGTTGACCAATATATAAAAAGATAGAGAATTTCAAGCACCATCAGAATATATGATTGCTTTTTTAAAAAGCGAACTCTATAGTGATGAAAAATTTTAAAAATTTATTTTGAGTGCAGTAAGAAAATCAAGTCTGTGGGAATTTGGGCGTGAGGGCGCCTTCATTGAACTCAATTTATTTTGGTGATAAATAGGACTAAACTATAATCTAATTATACCGGATGATAGAAAACTCCACGGGCTTTCAGAATATATAAATACTTTTAAACTAATATGTTCTTATAATGGAAATATATTCAAAATACAGAGTCTAACTATTTTTGGGGAGATATATATTTATTTATATATTGTATTTACGAAAACAACATCAAAAATAAAAATCAATCAGTTTTATTTATTAGTTTTCTGGAATAATGTGAACGATTGGTTCGATTCTTCTTCTTCGAATAGTTATTATGAAATAATATTGTATTTTCATTAGAAGAGAAGTCACAAGTTTCAATGCAACAGTCAATCCACCATAAAGACCGATAATGACTGTTATAATATATATTGGATTAACTCGTTTGTTGATTGAATATGTACACGAGAGAGGTGAACATACAGCATAATATTTTTCATAAGATACATTACTTTCCAATTTATCGATTAGAAGATTATCAACAAGACTTTGAACAGTTTCATTTGGAAAAGAAAGGCTTTGATTAAGTGGACGAATAACGATGTCTGTAACATTATAAAGATATTTGATTTGATCAATGCAACTAACATTGTAAAGACATTCTAAAGTCGATTGAAGAAGAGAGTCGAGTACATAACAACCAATACGAAAACCAGGTATTAATGAACCATTGATTAGTGCGGAAGAAGTACACATAGAGTTTGTACCACAAGAACAATTATTTTCATCACCATATGAACGTGGTGTAGTCCACACTGATGAAAACTGTATTCTGTTTATTGAATGAAAATACCAATTTGATTGAATAGTTGAAACAATTCCATTACCTTGAGCCATCTCACGAATAAAATCGAGCATACGAACAAATGTTCGACATGTTGATAAACGAAATTGAGTTATAATGGTTTCAGCTTGTGATTCAATGACTTCACGAGATTGTACTTGTTTATTAATCAGTACTTTTGAGGCAAATGAAGTTAAACTATCGGTTAATATTTGATTAGCGAGATTGCATAATGAAGATAATGTACGAAACTGTGGTAAAGCAAATAATTGAAAGTCATCATATGGATGTTCTTCATCGATTCCATATGAGTAAAGCATATTAATCCAACTAGAATTCATATTAATAAAGTCGCTCGAACAAAGTTGATGATAATAAGGACTGATCGAAATAAAAGAATTGTAGGGAATAATTATATTCTGGCATTGACATTCGAGTATTGGCGAATATTGATGACTCATTAGAAGATTATTGAATGTTTCTTGAGATGGATATGAGATTGTTGTGTATTGAGTTTGAATAGAAAATGAATTATAAATAATAAGTATTGTAATACTTATTGTAAGTAATAAAATATAGATTCGAGTTTTAATTATCTCTTTTCGACGACGATGATCATCATTATATGATAATTCACTTTCAAATAAATTCAAATTTATTATCTTCATCTTAAATTTATCCCATACTAAGCATAGCCGTTGAAAAATTCTAGGAGGAGGAACTAAACGTAGAATAAATATCTCTTAAATACACTCATCAAATATATCGAGCAATTTTTATTATACTTTTCTTTTGACTTACTTATTGGATTGATATTGGGTCGATACAGATTTCGTATCCAACGGACAATGACAGGAACGATTAATTTCAATGCCATTGAAACTCCACCAAATAAACTAATTAAAAGTGTTATAATATATGAAAAATCATTGTGTGATGTAATTGTATAAGAACAAGATTCAGGTGCACATTGTTGATAATATTGACTATATTGAATATTATCACCCCATTGTTCGAGCATGAGATTATTGACTATGACTTGAATAAGTGTTTCAGGTAAAAATCGAGTTGTATTTGCTTGAAGAATAGTTATATTAATTGATTGACTTGAACGAATTTGAAATTGAACAGCATCTAAACATGTTTGGTTGAAAAAGCATTCAAGTGATGATTGAAGAACAGATTGTAAGACAAAACAGCCAATAAAGAATTGTGGTATATTAAATATTAAAGAATTTGGGTAAACTAAATCTTTTTGAGAATAATTATAAAAACCCATTGGAGACACACAATTGTCATTTAATACACAAGAACAATTATCCCAATATACCTGTTTATAATAAAAGTCCAAATATTGATTAGTGGAATTAACTGAGGTATAAGCTTCTAAACGAACATTGCCAGCTCCTACTGCATACATATTACTTGAATGAAATTGAATAAGTGTCAGACTTTGTTTAAATTGAGCTACTGTGTTTGAATGAAATTGATTAAGTCTTGTTTGTATATCTCCTATCATTTGTTTTTTAGATACAACTTGGTCAGTTATGTATGCAGATTGTTTAAAATTATACCAAGCATTGAATACTGTTGTTTTAGCAAGTGAACATAATGTTTGCAAAGCAACGAAAAATGTTTGACCAGAACCTTTAAAATCGACTACACGTTGTGCTTGATCGGGCCAATTCAAATATGATGTTGAAGCTAACCATGCTGCAGATATAAATAAACTTGAACATACAGGATGATATTGAGGATATTCAGAAGCAAAATTATCATATTGAATAGCAATTTTTTTACATGGACATTTAACTATACTTGAATATTTCATATATAAATCTTCAAAAGTATTTTGTGATGGATTAAGAATAGTAAATGTTTGTGTACGAGTATTTGTTGATCCATAAATAATTAGAATACATACGGATACACATGTGAGAATGATATAGATACGAGTAGATATTATTGATGTTCTTAATTCATAAGGATCGTTTCGCGTAGTATTTATATTAAATAGATTCAGCTTGCGTATTTTATCTATAACCAATCTCCATAACATGCGAAGACGTTCAATTAATCGAATTTCTAAGCATAAAAATGATTACATATTCTTAAATGTAATAGATATGCACTTACGTGTGTTATTTCTTGTTTGGTTGTTTTTACGGTTATACCACCAAATAATGATATAAGGTACACAAAAACGAAGTACAATAACTAGTCCACCATAAAGACTTAATAGTTTTGTTATAATATAAAGAGCACTATTACGTTGAATGAATGTATATGTACATAGAATGGGAGAACATTTTTTATAATATTCCGTGAAAGAACTTATTGTTGACCATTTTTCAATAAATAAATTAGTAACAAGTGTATCAATAGTAGTTCGAGGTGAAAATTGAGTTTGATTAACATCAAGTTGTTTAATATCCGTCATATTATTATTAGAAAAGAATCCTAGTACAGTATTTATACATGTTGAATCAAAAAAACATTCAAGTGTGGATTGAAGAAGTGATTCAATTGCATAACATCCAGCTACAAATCCAGATATATTGACCATAAGTGACATCGAAGATGTGTAGTCACCTCTAGTATCATAAGCAAATAAATCAAAGAAACCACATACTGATGATGAACAAGTAGATTGTAAACCACAATAACATATTGTGTTATTATTACTAGAGTAAACATTCTGAATTGCATATGTTTGTGCTTTACCATTCGGAAAAATATAGAATCCTAAATATGATGAAGTTCGTAAAGCTGTTTGCAATTGATTAGTAAACGTTGTACTACGAACTAATTGAAGTAATTGCCGAAAAGCATTGCTTGTTGATGTTTGTATAAATGAACTTTGTGCTTGACTTTGAATATCAAGTAAATATGATGAAAGAACAACCGGAGTCAGAAAAACATTTGAGAGAAAATCATCAATTGTATCATTAACAAATCTTTTAGAAAGAGAACAAAATGAAGAAAGTATTTGAAATTGACCACTTGCAGATGAACGAAAATCAAGTGGATAATAATAACTTATATTCGGATTAAATAATATATTGATCCAATTATCAGAAACGAAGATACTTGAACAAACTGGATGATATTTTGGAATTATTGAAATAAATGAACGATATGGAATGGCAATATCCGTACATGGACATGTTAATGCATTTGGATATTTTCGATAAAGATTTTCGAAATCAGATTGAGTTGGATTTAGAATGATAATTGTTTGATTTTGACCATCCAACGCAGAATAAACTGTAAGAATAGTGACAGTAAATGTTAATAATATAATAAAGATACGTGTTGATATAATGGCTTTTCGTAAATCAAGTTCTTCTGAACGTGCCATTTCAACTTCGAATAAATTCATTTGACTGATCGTTTGTTTTATCCATTTGACAATATTCATAATAGTTTCCATCAATCTCTAGAATAATCGAGAAAAAAAACTGTCATTTTCTAATGATAGTATTCTCCTATTTAAATAAGTGTAATTTCATTCTTCCTACTCACAGCTAACAGGGACGTTATCGTCAAAAGTGCTTAGTTACAAATTAAATAAGTCAAGAATAAGGTCTACTAGCCATCTACGGTTTTCAAGAAAAGAAAAATGAAAAAAAATCATTGTTGTATGCAAAATGTAATGATGTTTATTTTATC